CCCCACCAGGCCGCAGCCATGTTCTACTCCCACTCCGTCCTGGCTCGGAAGAGCCCGCTGGGCACGGTGTGGATCGCCGCGCACCTCGAGCGCAAGGTCAACCGGACGCAGATCGACGGCGTCGACGTCCCCTCCTACGCGGCGTCCATAATGGACCCAGAGGTGCCCATCGCCCTCAGGCTGTCGGGGCATCTCCTCCTCGGGCTCGTCCGCATCTACTCGTGGAAGGTGAACCACCTGTTCCAAGATTGCAACCGGATGCTGAGCGCGGTCAGGACCGCCTTCGCCTCCATGGAGGCGATAGATCTGCCGGTTGACGCGGACCGTGCTCCGTTCGAGGTAATCACTCTGCCGGAGACCTTCAGCCTGGATGACTTGAGCCTTGATGATGCGATTCGTCAGATGGATACGCCGGATCGTCATCGGCGGACCTCTGATCAGATCACCTTGTCTGGAGAAGGGTATGTGATGATCACCCTTGACGAGGATGGTGGAGCAGAGTTCACGTCTCCTGCTGGTCGATCTTCAGGATTTGAGCCTGAACAGCTTGAGCAGGAGACGTTCCCTCCGTTTCCTGAGGATATCATTTCTGCAGATCCTCCTCTGCAAGGCAGTTTTTCAGTGAACCCTATCAATGGGCACCGAGATACACCAGAAATATTGCGCCGAGCGACTGACAGTGCGTCAAGGTTTGAAGATGTTATTGATGGCGGTGACCCCATGGATGAAGATCCGTCGCCGTTCATAGAAAAGGTTACCACGCCACCAGCAATGCACTCACCTTTATCCCCTGTGCTTCGGACATCCATTCCCAATGTTCCAACACGTATCAGCCATGAGCTTGTTGAAGAAGATGAAGAACCAGCAGGTGACGCTGGACTCTTGGCACCTGTAGCATTTGTCCTTGAACCATCTCCACCACCTCAAGCACAAGGTAACAGGCGAAGGAGAAGGGCGAATGTACAGGAGAAGCGGAGAAGGCCTATAATTGATGAGGAAATCGTGCTCCCCAATGATTATATGAGTAATCAAGTTGATGGCATTGAGCTAGGTAGGCTGGCTCGCAGGAGGAAGATACTGCCCCATACAGCAGTGGATGTGTGGAGGTTCAACAGGATAAGCCAAAAGGACAGCCTTTTTTCTGAACCTCTGGTGCAAGGAATGTGTAGCGATCTTCATAAAGCTTATGAGGGGAACTACCCTCGTGTGAGTGACTCTGATGCTCAGCCTGCCGATGTTGTGAATGTTTGCGACTCTGATGCTCAGCCTGCCGATGCTGTGATTGTTCGTGACAAGGATGCACCTACAAGAAATGCAGATACACAGGAGCCTGAACCTCACCTCACCTCGAATTCTCTAGGAAATGGAGAGGCAACACCATTTGATTCACCACCTGAGCTCCCTCGCTTCTCTCCACAAAAGGATCTATCTCCAGTAAGAGAAGAAGATCACACCCCTTTTGAAACCCCTGGTCGAAGTGGAACCCGGCGGTCTGGACTTGGAGGAACTGGTGCTACTGTACCACTAACACATTGCAGTTCTGCATCACTTGGAAAAAATACTATTGAATCTCATTTCCCATTCGGTACTGACGATCTTGATGAAGATCTACCGGGGTTTCCTGGGCTCATGAATACCCCTAGCATGATATCCAGTGCGGGTACCAGCACCACAGGATTAGGCAGCATCATGTCTACCAGGACAAGGGCTGCCGCCCAGTACTTCAAAGGTATGATGTCTTCAGCCACGTCAGAAGACCAGCCAGGGAAATTCAGTTTAAGCAGAATCTTGGACGGGAGGACAAAGAAGCAAGCTGCAAGCATGTTCTTTGAAACATTGGCCCTGAAGAGCTATGATTATATCGATGTCCATCAGGAAGAAGCGTATGGCGATATTTCAGTTTCGGTTAGACCGTCACTCTCGAGCGCTAAACTTTGAACGACTCTGTTTCCCTTCAGTTCAATTAGACTATTTTCTTTTGCTTTCCTGGCCTGTGTAATATCAGTCCTGGTTTAGAATAGTGCTATGTTACTTATGCCTTCTAAGCTTCGTGTAATATTTGGTGTGTATCTCAGTTTGTCTCAGTTCTGTTCAGAACCTGGAAATGCTAGTGTGAGTGGAGCTGAAGGTGTTTTGTATACATTGTAATCTGTTTCAACCCTCCTTGTCTTTGCACCTGTGCTGAGCTACCGACGTGTGATTTTGTTGGTTGATTTTTTGCTGTGTGACTGGTGTTGCCTATGGGAAGGAGGGAGTTGAATATTGATTTAGCTTTAGCACATGAATTTAATTCTTTTGGTATAATTCAGATTTATCAGTCAATTTGATTGCTGACACCGTTCAGGTTAGAGCTTAAGCACTTGCACCTTGCCTTCATGTTTTAAATTTCGATCCACCAAGAAAAAGCCAGTGGTTATAGGAACTTTTATTTGTTTCTCACCTGAAAGTTATCATGTAATTCTTGAATTAGTTAGCACTCATTTCTAGATGTTACCCTGTGGGACTGAAAAATGAAACAGTATGCTTCATCATGTGGTCCTGGCTTCTTAGAAAGAGTTTTTCATTTGTTCTCAACAGAAATTCTTGCCTAAATCTTGCAATGGAGACAGTGTTAAGAATAGGGCTGAAGTTTCCCTTTGATGTCTGTCCAGTTAAGGTACCAAAAGTTTTCACTCTCCAAGAACAAGCCTGTGGTTATAGCGACTTCTGTTTGTTGCTCACCTGAAAGTTACATGTAATTCAGTAATTGTTGAATTAACTAGAGATTATCTATTGATGTTTATTCTGTGGGTGGAACTAATGAATGAACTTCTGTTTATTCACATGTCTGAGATAGAAGGGTCCTAGTTTACGCATAATGCATCTTATTGTTCTGTTTACATGCACCTTACTGAATGGTCTTACGCCAGGGAGAGCATCGCACAACAAGCTACACCTTAGTGGTTGGTGCTATAAATATATGTGATATCTGGGCCCCTTTAGGCTTAAGATCACCAACAATTTATAGTTCTTGAAGAGGCATGCCTGATTTCAGGACCAAAGGTTAGTGATTTTGATCAATGTTAGCTTCAGGATTGAGCAATGCATGTTTATTTTGGTTAGATGGTTTAGGTGTGCTAATTCAGTCATATTCACATTCACAGTGTTAATATGATGCCAAGTCTTATTTATGCCATTATTGTTCGGGCATTACCTGAAGGAGAGATCTGTTGATGTCCAAGATAGGTTAATGGTTAGCTTCTCAAGGTTCACCTGGTCTATAATTTATCTTAAATTGTTAAATGGTTTTGTTGTTACACGCCAATACTTGTTCGGAGGACAGGGGGCACTAATTTATCTGCCTGCAGATTAATAAAAATATATTTTGAAGGTCTCCTATCTGATTTTCTAATTTGATCTTCACTACTAAACTTTTTATCTTGCTTGCTATCTATTTGGTTTTGCCTGCATTAGAACTTGAAATTATCTTATTCTTGTGACATTTCTTGGTCATGCTCTACTACTGGACTATTGCTTCAGACCAACCAGTAAATAGGATACCGAGGCATCTGTGACTTCACTTGAATAGGATAGACAAACTGCCATAGGAAGGTAAGCTAGGTTTATGTCTGGTAGAACTTTTCCTATCAACAGCAATGCACTAGGACTTCTCCATAACAGATTTGGAACTGCAATGTTTGGTTTGCTTAATTTTAGTGCTCATTGTCAGATTGTCAAATTTATTGAAGCAATATATACTGGAAGTTCTGAACTATAAATGGGTTTATTATCTTATATTTGGTTTCGATTGCAGAAGGAATGTTGCTATGCATAGGTATAGTGAGCCTGCATTTGGAAACGCATGGAATATCGGCGTGTTATATTTGCCTTTTTAGTGGCTGTGGCCGATGACACTTTTGTGATGACTAATTTGTGCACTCAATTTTTTTATTTGTCCAGCGAGTAAAATTAGATGCACCACTCACGCTTTTGGATGGGGATCTTAATTTCTTCTTCCTTTTTAGGAGACGTCTGCTGGTTAAATTGTTCATGCTTGCGGATAGGGATCTTAATTTCTTCTTCCTTTTCAGACCACTCCCGATGTGAGCTAAAGGTTTTATCTGTTTCCATTAGATTTACCTTTTGAAACTGTATATCTTTAGGCCTCAATGATAGCTCTTTTGGATACATGTATTAGCAATATTATTAATCGACTTAAGATACACACTTTCGGAAAAAGCCAATTTCTTCAAAAGGCAAAAGAGTCTGGTAGGTGATCACAAATCATGATTATTCCCATGAAAAATGCAGTAAATACCACAATAGTTTAGAATAAGTATTTCTTTGGGCTTTCAACATATTATTATTGGGCCAACTGTTTATCCATTTCTATGCACACAATATGAGAAGTGTCAGGTGTACAGCGATGTGCACAGTTAATTTCTTGCAAGTGCGATTTAACTAATCTCTAAGCAAGTGCGAACATGTACAGTTGAGTTAATGATAGATTCGTGTTCCAGTTCTGGTAATTGTCCTCCTGATAGATTTTCCTTTCTTAGTTGTTGCAATTAGCAAATTTAGTGTCTCCAGGTATTCTATGTTGTATATTGATGAAACTTATCTGAAACAAATTCCCCTGAGTCTGCTGCCACTGTTGGCGCCTCTCATCCATGGTGCTTTTCCAGAACTCTTACATGTGCATGTGACTTGTTTTCAATCGTTTTCTGTGTTGTTCAGATAGTCTTAAGGTAGACTTTGGGAATATATTGCTGTCATATGGTTTAGACATGCAGTTACAGCCATATCTTCAGCTTAGTGCAATATGTGTCAGATTACATAGCTGAATCGACAGGATATGGATATTTGTTTTGATTTTGCTTCCGGTTCCTAAGTTTGGTTTCAAGCATAGTATTTAGCCTTGTATACTCTCCGCGTTCGGACCGGCGGTGGCACCTTGAAGATATCGGACAAGGTAGAGAGATCCACCACGGTGGTCAAGGTGGTATTGTGCCGATGATGGCGGTTGACGAGGGTTGGGGGGTGGCGAGAGAGAGAGAAGGAGAGGGAATGGTGGATTGGGGCTTGGACTCTCCTACTTACCCCTTTTGAGGCTGGAGTAGGGGATATCGGACAGTCTGGACTTGTCCGGGCTGAAATGAGGGAGTCCGTTAAACGTTTTTTTTTCTTTTGTCAAGACAGCCCGATCCGAATATACAGGGATATCAGACAGTTCAGACATGTCCGGGCCGAAATGAGGGAATAGTCCGTTGGATGAGTTTTTTTGTAAGACAGTCCAATGCAAACATACATGGACGAAACGGGGAAGCCCCTTGGAGTTGCCCAAAGCCGTGCCGCGCTGTGTTGGGTAGGGTAACGGAAACAATCATAGTGTGATGATGATGATGATGATGATGATCATGGGACGAGAGGAGAGGCATCATGTGTCAGTTGTCCACCAGCCAGGCATGACCGGATGTTGGGCCACTCCAAGCACGAGCAGTCAGTGCCCTTGTAATTAAACGAGCTGCGGCCCGTAATGTAGCAACTGTCCCGGAGAATCGATGGTGTGCGACGGAGATCCAGCATATGTTTTTTTTTGAGGGGCTTCCAGCATATGTATGTATATAGGATTTTAATTAAAGAGAGGTTCGGTTAATTATCCACTATTGGAGACGCATAACGCACAGTAATAGTGTAGGAGGCGCTCGCTGGCTGCGGTGCGGTCTTGAGAAATGGCCACTGCTAGGCGCCGGCGCACCGGCCCAAACTTTCGGCCGGTCGCCTAGCAGCCGTTGGATTCAGGCAAAAGTAGCCGCATGATTTCCTCTCTATCCTTCCGCACATCATGCCTCCTCCCACAACGAGTCACCACGCTCAGCCAACCGCCCCCACCCCGCGGCCTTGCCGCACAAAGCTTGCGCACCCCGCGGCAGCCGCCATCGCCATGGGTTGCAGGTCGCCACCTCTCTCCGCAGCTCGCCGTTGCTGTTGTCGCACACCCTCCACATCTCGTCGTCGATCCAGCAACACCCTCCTGCTGCATGCAGCTCCCGTCGATGGCCGGATGCAGCTCGGACAGCAAAAACTCCTGCCTCCCATCGTAGCACGGCGTCGCCGTCTCTGCGGGCCTCCATTGTCGATGTGCATCGTACCTAAAGAAATCTGGTGGTCGGTTGAAGCAAAATCAAAAAACGCTTCCAGCAAAACCAAACTTAGGTTCCAGCAAAAATGACATGAGCGTTTGAGAACTCTGCAGCCAATGAAACAAAAATTTATCTCGGTTCCAGCAAAACAATACATCGGTTCCAGCAAAAAGAAAATTGTTCAGCAAAATACAGCCACCCCGCTTGCGGCTCCCCCAGTCGCCGGTTGTAGCTCCAGCGTACACGGTTGCAACTTCCAGCGTTCGAACGGCGTTGGCCGCAACCCTCCTTGCCACTGGATGCAGCTTCCTCCGGCGTGGTGTCGACCTTGCAGCATATCCACCAGTTGGTTCCAGCAAAAACGGGCCCCGGTTCCAGCAAAAATCCAAATGTTCATAAAAAATCGAATGGGGATGATAGCAAAAGGAGAAAGGGGTTGTAGCAAAACAAATGGGTGGATCCAGCAAAACAAATACCTGGTTCCAGCACAAATTCGTCGCCCCTGTGGCCAATTGCAGCTTGGCCATGCGACTAACGAACCCTGGTTGTGATGGCCATGAAGAGGGCGCACATCTAGTTCCGGCAGACAAGACGACGAGCACTGCACCTCTGCTCGCTGATCGTTGTACGACGCGCACCTCTACATCTTCGTGTGTGCTCCTCTGGGATCGCCTGCTCGCCACGCATCTATTCCGCGGCCGGCGAGCTGTTTATTTGGAGGTAGGCCATGGGAGAGAGAGTACGCAGGGGAGGAATTGCTGTGGGGGTTGAGGATGCATGCGACAGGATGAGAGAAGAAAGGATAAGGTAGAGGAGCTGCTGGCGTGAGTGGATAAAAAAGCGGTGGAGGTCAGCGGATAAGGGCGAACGCGAGCCACATGATTTGTTACAAAATTGAACGAGCCACATGTGACCGGCTGACTGTTCCGCCGGTCAGCCGGCCACAAACATTTCCCTTGAGAAATACTCAGAGAACGCCACCCATGGACGACGGCCGAGTCCCCGCGTGGATTGGCCGCGGACCACGTACGGTACGGTCCAGCCTACTTTTTTTTTTTGCCCGACCGTATCTTTACCTCTCGCTACATAAACATTCGCTAGTGCCTAGATCGTCTCCGCGTACCTGCGGGCCCGTGCACTTGCGTCCACACTGGCTTCAGGTGGTAATTCCGGATGCTTATTTTTACTGGGTGAAATTTAACTTAGCGGTCGAGCAGGCTCATGGCTTTGCGTACATCTTCGCTCAGTGAACCAAGCAAATAAAATGCGAGGTCGCCAGGGCCGGGGTACAATATAAATAAACGGATGATGAATGTCGTGTATTCGTAAGCGATTCCCTGCGCCGAATGTTCCAGGGTTGCGCACGCAGCTGAAGCGGTTCGTCGACCGGTCGGTGCCCCAGCTACGTACGTACCGACACGGCGGCAACGGCCACGGCCACGACCACATGTGCCAGCGTAGTAGTAGTACACGATTATCTTTCTTTTCTCCGTTCGTTGGAGATTCGTGGCCGATTGCCGGGAAAAATGTCAATGGGCAGCGTCCGGTCTGGACTTGATGCTCCTCTGTAATCTGTTGCCTGCTGCTGTTTGTTTAAGATCCGATAATACCACATCCAATGGCATATATGTATGTGGTAATAATAAACTATAAAACAAATATATTCAGAAACAAGATCGGATAACATTTTGCCGGGAGCTGGTACAGGGTGGCCGAGAACTACGGCCGGCCATGTCTAATCCAACAGAGGCGATGACCACCGCTGACGATGTCTACAGACTACTACTACTACTCTACGGCTATAGGTTGTGTACATCTAGTGCACGGAAGGTAGAGCTAAGCACTCTGGCCTGGTTGCTCAGTAGTCTACTCCATCCATCCAACTGATTAAT